TATATATAGTTAGTGGTATTAGGAGTTTCGGATTTTTAGGGCTTTACTTTTCTTAGGGGTTGCCCTGTGCATTGAGTTGTCTGACTGGTACATGATGTATGATATAGAAGTATGTTACAAATTTGGGCACTCGAGGCAATAATATACTGTCTTGCGAGTAAACCAGGACAGACATACATGTTGCTATAGCAACGCGTGCCTCGAACGTATTTGCTTATACGCACTGTCTACACCTCGGCCTCAGAAATACAGACACGTCACCATAACAACGTGTGTTTTGAAGGGAGTGCGTATTTGTTTATGTATTTATTTTTGTATTGGGAACGTGTGTCTGATATATACTCATACACGGCAATACAGACACGTCACCATAGCAACTCGTGTGTCAGATATATACTCATACATACGGTACTCCCCTGTTCACTTTAGAACAGGATTTCACCAAGAAACACATCGAAGGCGCCGAACGCTCTACCGGCAACACACAGAGCACAACCACTCGCAGGAACACTCGAACAAACAATGAAAACGCGGGAGAGAAGAGTACGGCTATAAATAGCACATCTAAAAATAGAACTGCTTTCCCCACAGACACACCACCACCGCACGTGCTCAGTCGTATAGACAGTGCCCACAAGCGAACGAGAGGGGGTGGTAGTGAACTCTCGACCGACAGCGACACATACGGGGTAGATACAGGACCGTCGGCAAGGGCAACTAAACGTAAACGCCTACAAGCGACCGGCAGTGTGGCAAAGGATGGTGAGAAGGTGCAAGAAACGGATACGCAGAGTGCATGGCTGCGTGTGAGTAACATACCGAAGTATTGTACGTTGGAACAGCTCAAGTACTGCTTTCGCAAGGCAGATGTAAGCAAGCCTATGTTTGTGTCCGCTGACAGGACAAATGAGGTATTTCTGTGGGTGTGTAGTTTTTTCAAGACAAGTTTATGTGTTGGGATAAATATATATATATATACATGTATACGCTCATACGCACGCATACATACATACACATACAGACATAGACACACACACACACATACACATACACACACACACACATTTACATATA